GCCAGGGTGGAACTACCCACATCACTGTATGTGGTGAGTATGTGGGGCAGGGTTCTGAGAGGGAACAATGCCACTTGGTCAGCTCTCAGCTGGCTTTCAGTCACTTCTTCTGCTCCCCAGAAGCAATTTGGTCCCTCTGGTGTTGATTCTCAGGCTAGTCATATTGTGTGCATTCCAGGACCCTGTGGGTCTCTCCAAGGAACTCTCCTGTGAGGCCAAGAGTTTCTCCTGCCACCACAATCCCCACAGGTTTTTCAGTCAGAGTTTTTGAGGCTTTATTTCTCTGCATTGGAACTCTGTGTTGCATGGTCTGTCTCGCTCCCCAGTTGTTCCTTCCAGTTTATCCACACAGAAATGTGAGACCACCTAGTCCTCCAGCCACCACCTTGCTACAAGTCCTCTCCACCCCACCTGCTGGTCTCTGCCCCTCTTTCTGGTCTTGATGAATGTTTTTTTCTTTAACTCCTTGGTTGTCACATTTCCATACAGTTTGATTTTTCTGGCATGTCTGGTTATTTTTTGTATTTAAATTTGTTGTTGTTCTTCCCTTGTATGAGGGGACAAAGTGTATCTACTTATACACTTGGCCATCTTGGCCAGAAGTCTGACCTCTCTTTTTCTTTCTTTATGAGTCTGATTAAATGCTTATCGGTTTTGCTTATCTTCTCAAAGAACTAGCTATTCATTTCATTGATATTTTCTACTGTTTTTAGTCTCCATTTTCACTTATTTTCTCTCTGATCTTTATCATCTCCTTTCTTCTAGTTATTTTAGACACCAATTGTTCTTTTTTTAGTCCCTTTATGTGCAAGACTGGATTTATTTGAGATATTTTGTTTTTCCTTTAGATAGACATGTATTTCTCATTATATCCCTCTTAGAACTGCTTTGTATATGTTCCATAGATTTTGGGTCACTGTGTTCTCATTTTCATTTGTCCCAAGGTATCTTTTGAATCATTCCTTAATCTTATTGTAAACTCATTTATTGCTTAGTGGCATGTTATTTAGCTTCCATTTTTTGTGGGTTTTTTTTTTTTTCAGTTTTCACCTTGTAATTGGTTCTGGTTCTATACCATGGAAACTAGAGAAGATGCTTGCTATGGAATCAATGTTCTTTTTTTTTTTTTTGAGACTTGTTTTGCAGCTTAAGATGTGGACTATCCTGGAAAATGTTCCATGCATACTTGAAAAAAATATAAATGCTGCTTCTTTGTGGTAAAATGTTACAAAAATATCTATTGAATCTATTAGCTCTAATGTACCACTTATGACCACTGTTTACTAGTTGATTTTCTCTCTGCATAATCTATTCATTGATGTCAATGTCTAAGTTCCCTGTTATTATTGTAATACAGTCAATTTCTCCCTTTATATGTGTCAATATTTTCTTTATATATTTAGGTGCTACTGTGTTTTGTGTGTATATATTTACAAGAGTTATGTTCTCTTGTTGGATTCTTCTCTTTATCATTATGAAATGCCATTTTTTTTGTCTCTTGCTACAGACTTCGTTTTAAAGTCTATGTTTCTGATATAAGCATCACTATACCAGCTTTTTAAAATTTCCATTTGCATGACATTGTTTTCCATTCATTTACTCTCAGTGTAGTTGTGTCTTTCAATCTGAAATTGGTCTTCTGTAGGCAGCATATGTATAGTTCTTGTTTCTTTTATCCATTTATCCACCCTATGTATTTTATTTGGAACTTTCAGTGCATTTACATTTGAAGTAAGTTTTGATAGATATGTGGTTATTGCCACATTATTGTTTTTTATTGTTTTTGTAGTTGTCTGTTCCTTTCTTATTCTCTCTCACTCTTTTCTTATAGGTTGATGACTTTCTGTATTGTTATGTCTGGATTCCTTTATCTTTTTTCATATGTCTGATATAGCTTTTTTGGGTTGTTTTTACCATGTGTTGCACATACACCAAGCTATGTCTTAAGTTGCTGGTTGCTTAAGTTCAAACACATTCTAAAATAACAATAATATTTGACAAAATTTATTGAGGCAACATTGGTTAATGAAATTATATAGGTTTCAAGCCTATGGTTCTATAATATATCATCATATATTGCATTGTGTTTACCACTCAAAGTCAAATCATTTCCTATCACCATATAATTAACTCCCTTTACTTGTTACTACACCCCCCTCAATGCCCTTTACGTTTGGTAACCACCATACTGTTATCTATGAGTTTTGTTTTCTTTGTTTCATTTGTTGCTTTTAGTTTTGTATGCCATATATGAGTAAAATATGGTACTTGAATTTTTTATCTGACTTATTTAGGTTAGCATGATACTCTCAAGGTCCATCCATGCTGTCACAATGGTAATATTTCATCTTTTCTTATGGCTGAGCTGTATTCCATTGTATATATGTACCACATCTTTTTTTTAAGTTTGACTTTTTTCAAGATTATATTTACTTATTTTTAGAGAGAGGAAGACAAATATTAATGTGTGATTGCCTCTCAAGTGCCCCCTACTAGGGACCTGGTCTGCAACCCAGGCATGTGCCCTGACTGGGAATTGAATTAGTGATCCTTTGGTTTGCAGGTCAATGCTCAAGCCACTGAGCTACACCAGCCAGGGTTGTACCACATGGTCTTTATCCAATCATCTGCTGAAGAACACTTCAGTTGTTTCCATGTCTTGGCTATTGTGAATAATGCTGCAGTGAACATGAGTACATATATCTTTACAAATGATATTTTCAAATTTGGGGGATAGATACCCAGGAGAGGGGTTGCTGAGTCAGATTGTAATTCTTTTCTTAATTTTTTGAGGAACCTCTGTATTGTTTTCCATAGTGGCTGTACCAGTTTACACTCCCACCAGCAGTGAATGAGGGTTCCTTTTTCTCCACAACCTTTCCAACATTTGTTATCACTTGTCTTGTTCATAACAGCCATTCTAACATGTTGGAGATCATATTTCGTTGTAGTTTTGATTTGCATTTCCCTAAAAGCATGTGAAGGTCAGAATGTTTTCATATATCTATTGGCCATTTTTATGAGTTTTTAAAAATATTTTATTTATTTATTTTTAGGGAGAGGGGAAGGGAAGGAGAAAGAGGGGGAGAGAAACATCAAAGTGTGGTTGCCTCTCATGTGTCCTCTACTGGGGACCTGGCCTGCAACCCAGGCATGTGCCCTGACTGGGAATCAAACCGGCAACCCTTTGCTTCACAGGCCCATGCTCAATCCACTGAGCTACACCAGCCAGGCATTTTTATGACTTTTGAAAGAAGTGTCTGCTCAGGTCCTCTGCCCATGTTTTTAAAATGGGAGTTTGTTTTTTATGGTATATGAGTTATAAGAGTATTTTTAATACATTTTGGATATTAATCCCTTGTCAGAGCTATTCTTTGCAAATATCTTCTCTTATTCAGTTAGTTGTCTTTTTGTTTTATTGGCAGATTCTTTTGCTGTGCAGAATCTGTTTAGTTTGATATAATCCCTTTGAATTTTTCTTTTGCTACCTTTGCATTTAACATCAAATTCATAAAGTATTTTCTAGTACCAAAGTCCACAAGTATAATACTTATGTTTTCTTCTATGTAATTTATTGTTTCAGGTGTTTGATCCATTTTATCCAATTTTTTTGTATATGATGTCAAAGAGCAGTCTAGTTTCATTATTTTGCATGTGGCTTTCTAATTTTCCCAGCACCACTTATTGAAGAGGCTTTTATTTCTCCATTGCATGTTTTTGGCTCCTTTGTTGAAAATTATTTGCTCAGTTGCATTGCATGTGAGTTTATTTCTGGATTTTCAATTCTGTTTCATTGGTCTATATGTTTGGTTTTATGCAAATACAATGCTGCTTTGATTATTGTTGCTTTGTAGCATAATTTGAAGTCAAAGAGTATGGTTCTGCTGGCTTTGTTCTTTTTTTCTCAGAATTGCTTTGGCTTTTGAGGTCTTTTGTGGTTCCTTACAAATCTGATTATTTTTTTGTTCTATTTCTTAAAAAAACTGTCATTGGGGTTTTGATGAGGATTGTACTGAGTCTGTATATGTACAAGGTTCAAAGAGACATGGTCATGACAACATTTACAATCCCTTTTTGAAAAATCCACATTTTAATTCAGTGATTCAACTTGAGGTAAAAGAGAGAAATTGCTTGTGAAATACAATCATTAGGTTAGTTACCCATATTAAATAATTTGTTTATTCTCCACTTGAATTGCATAGATAATCTGAAGAAAATTAGTTTAGAGTTTGAAATTATAAAAGCCTGACTCTCCTTATTCCAACATTTAAAAAACATGGCTGTTAATACATGACATACTCTTTCAACCTATTTTGCTAACACTATTCTTTCTGCCTGGAATGTGTTTCCTACTAATTCTTATTCATCTGATAAAACTTAGTGTAGATGTCTCTTCTATGAAGACTTTGGGAACACCTAGATGGCCTAGCAGTATTTTCTTTGTATTACAGCACCATGTACATATTTCTTCCATAACACTAACTTGTATTGAATTTGTTCACAAATCTTTCTTCTGGACTAAAATATAAGGCTTATGTGACTAATTTATTTCTTTATCCTCAACACTTAATACAGTATCTGATACAAAAGAAGTAATTAGTAAATGATTTATTTAAACTTATGGAGGTCATTCGAATGTTTATTGCAATAACATTATTAAAGGAAACAGATCTGATGCCTCCATGTTGAGAATTCAACCAATTATTTAATTAAAAAACACACACACACTCAGTTCACAACTGCTAAATGTTTATGTGATCATTTTGAATCAATAAATATCAGAAAAATTTTCTCTTATCCCCAAATGTTATTCTTTTATTAATATCGCCACCACCATCTTTTCCCTTTCTGGATGTTGCTTCTTCCTGAAACTGCAGAGTAGAAAGCTTGCCTTTTCCATCTGGGAGGCTGGCTGGGGAGGGAGCCAAGTATGTCATAGCGGGGAGGGTCTAAAGGCTTCCTAGTATTAAAAGAAGAAACCTAGACTGAGTGCCAAAGTGCACAGCAAAGGAGAGGGAAGAGAGCAGGAAGGCACTACACAAGCTGAGCCAAGCCTGCAGCAAGGCGGAGAGGATAATATTCGAGTGGCTGGAGATTCAAGGTAACTACTCCATTGATCTCCTTATCTTTCATTTCCAGTTCACTGCTTCTGGAATTCAGGAGCTTCTGCATTTGAGCTGGGGATACTCATGTCTCTGTGTGTTCCTTCTGTGTACTGAGAGAGGACTGCATGTGAAACCTGCCTAGAGATCCAAAAGCAGGCAAGTTTCTTCCCTGAAAGGAAAGTCTGAAAATTCAGAGCATCTTTCATTTGCTTATTTTTTTTATTTGAATTTTTAAAGCATCCCTGTACTAGCATTGTTTTTTTATGAGCAGAGAAAAAGCAATAGATTCAAGTTACTAGTAAGGGCTGGGAATGCTGCTGAGGGTTTTCTCCTTTAAGTAGAGCAGTAAAACTATTTAATTCTTATTGAAACTTGCTTTTTCCTTTCGCTTACACTTCCAGTTCAGCTGTTACCTACTTTACTTTCTTGAATCTCTTTGAAATGGAACAACATAAAAGGTGGGAACCACATTTCAAAATCATATCAATGTGTTCATTTTTATAAGTGAGTGTATTTTTAAGTCAGACTGGCCCAAAAGAAGAAGGATTGTGAAGGAGAGGAAGAGAGAAGTGAGGAAATATTAGGACACAAAGATACCAGGTTTAATAAAATAGGAAACTGATCATTTATAAACTGTCTGAATTCCTTAGAAAATGCTTCCATATCATTTTCAGGTATACATCAGGGGGTTTTGACTTTGTTCTTCTTTTAAAAACACTATATCTTGGTTCAGGATTCTTTGACTACAGAAAGCAAATGATGCATGAGCTACTTTCTCTAGTGCCTTTGAAACATTGAAATGTCAAGTTCAGCTCTTCCGGGCTTGCTCAACATACAGCTGAGCTGAACATTTTATCCTCTAATTTAAACTATTTACATTTCACATTGTCTCTTTTAACTTCCTCCTTGCAGAGACTTTTTTTTCCTATGATTTCCTAGTGCAGGTAACCACAAACCCTTATCAGCTTGAGGTTTATGTGCAGAAGAAAAAAAGATGTTAAAATGTTATGTCCCAAACAAGCAATTAAAAAACTGAGAAATGGTTAAATTGAAGACTTTTTTTTTGCTTCCTCTTGAGCCAGCTAGCTGGACAGGAAACTCTGGCATGGAGAAGGGGGAAAGGGAGGATATCTAAAGAATATTATATGCAAAAGATATTTTTACATTACAAAAAAAACGTTCCTGTTTGGGAAATGTCCTTCCTGACTTCATTTTTCATTATTGGGAAAACTACTTCTATTTTTAATTTTTAAAAATAACTTGAAATTCCTAGTTATCAGGAGTAGTCTTATGAATTAGAGTAAAATTTCAGAGTAAATGAAATTAGAGTCTTATTTCAGAGTAAAATTTCTATTTATGTTTTCAAATATGGTTGTGGTTGTACCATAGGGACATGTGGCAATTGAGGATCTACTGCAGTTCTAGTCCTAAATTTTCCCCTTTTGACTTCTTCCTACAGAAATAAAGGTTCTGTCTTTAGGATTTAACTAAAACTCCTATTCTAATGTGAGAGGCAAAATAGACTACCTGCTTTCACCTCTCAAGCTGAATGTGACACTGGGCCATAGGATTTTAAACCATCAGTTGACTTGAACAAATGAAGTAACTTTCAAACATCAAGAAAGAAAAGCCTGAAACGACAAGGTATAAACATTATACTACTATTTTTCACCTGCTTAATTGTGTTATAAAATGATCTTTTTGTACAATGGAGAACAACTATCTTTTTTTTAAGATTTTATTTATTTATCTTTAGAGGGGAAGGGAAGGAGAGAGGGAGAGAAACATCAATGTATGGTTGCCTTTCGTGCATCCCCTGCTGGGAACTGGCCTGCAGGGAACCTGCCTGCAACTCTGGCATGTGCCCTCACTGGGAATCGAACCACGATTGTCTGGTTCGCAGGCCCATGCTCAATCCACTGAGCTACACCAGCCAGGGCGAGAACAACTATCTTTGACCTTACTGTTGTTAGAGGGAATATATAACAATTTTTTTGCATTCAGAAATCTTCAAAATCTAACATATCCATATTTCATGTTTATATACTCATACATGTATTCAAAATGAATTTCTATAAATGTATTTCTACTTATATAATGTGGAATTATGAAAGTAATGAAATTTATATCACATTTGTTTGTTATTTGTCGGTGATTTACTCATCATTCACTAACTGCTTACTATAAGTTCACTACTTCCTAGGCTCCAGAGATTTTTAGGTCAAGATTACTATATATCTCAGAGGTTATTTGGGACAAACATATAAATAATTATGGTATATTATATTATAAGTGCTCTAAGATATATTTCCAATCTGAAGCAAAAATAAAGAATATGAAGGATCTAGGTGGCAGTTCAAAAGGATGTTTTATTTTATCAGAATCTTAGTGGATCACTATAAGACTTCTAGCACCGCAATCAAGTGGATTGCAATCTTTCAACCACGGTCCCAAGATAAGCTAAGGAAGTCAATATAACCAAACATCCACTAAGCACTTACTATATAATAGGCATTATGTGAAGTACATTATATACATTATATATAATTTCCTCCACATCCTATGAATCTTTTGTTATATCCATTTTCTGGATAAGAAAACTGAGGCTCATAGAGAATAAGTAATTTGTCCAAAGTTACCCAGCTAATAAATGGCAGAGGTGGGATTCAAACTCAGACCTTCCTAAACCACTATGTTATAGTATTTACCAAGAAGCCACAGGGAGGTTGGGGTAGGAAAAGTAAAAGAGCACATTTCGGGCAGAAAGAATCCTAAGTTAAAGCAGTGCAGACATGAAAAAGTGGATGAGTCTGGTGAACTATATTTAGATTCAGTAGCTAAAGTTTATAGTCACTTTGGGGGTACCAACAGAAAAGATAGTTGGAAGAAAACCCAACAACAAGGCAAAGACCAGTATGGAACTTTTCATATACTTTATTTAATATGTTTGAACTTCAGTTTCTAGACTTTGAGAAACTTTTTATGGCAAGGCCATAATCATTTTTACATTTGAGAAAGATAATTCTAGTTATAGTGTGAAGGGTAGATTAGTAAGTGGAAACTAAAAACACTAATTTGTATGAGGGATTATAATGAACTGTGCATCTGCTTATTCCTTTGAGAAATGAGGATTGCAATAGCATTTACTTAACTGGATTGTTAGAAATATTAACTGAGTCATCTCATTAAAAGAGATCCAAAAATTATCACATATGTGCTTCACAAATGTTAGTTACTGTTATTATTTTACCATACTACTGTTATGCTATTATGAAAAAGAATAGGAAACCAAAGAGTAAAAAATAAAATGAAATTTTCAAGAAAAAGATTTCTATGCAGATCTATTTCTATAGAAAAGGGGGAGGTTAATTTTATTTAGACTTTAATTGGTCCTTGATGTCAAGGAAATGGAATAACACTTTCCAGAAGGGGAAAGGTATGGGCAAAGGCAACATATCATGGGCAAGCAATAATACCTACAGCATTTTTGTATACATAAAGAAGTCTTGGAAGATAATATCAATTAAAAACATAGACATCAGAGTCTCACTGCTGGAGTTTGAATAACACTTCAGACATTTATTGGTTTTACATTGGGCAAGCTATCTTTTTTTTTTTTCATGGGCAAATGAGGATAATGTTTGTACCCACTTTCTGGCTAAGAACAATGCCTGTCACATAATATGTCCTATGTAGTGTATTCTTATCATTAAAGAGAGAAAAGAACTAGTTAATAGATAGGTTTGAGTTCCACAGTAAGGGTTTTAGATTTGAACTTTAGGCAAAATAGAGTCACTGACAATTTTTAAACAGAAAAGAAGGTTATGATAACAATTGATATGATAATAGAATGTAGGATATTTTTTGGAGGTTGGGGCAGGGTGTAGGGCAGATGTGGTTGGATCTCAGGTAGAGATGAACATATCAATTCAGATGTTCAGGTCAATTAAGGCAGAGTGAAGAACAGAAGTGGCAGTTGTAATAATGTGTATGCAAGAGACATCATAAAGGAATAATTTCTATGTTAGTGAGAAATACACTTAAAGTAGATGAATAGATCAGTAAGATGACTCTGAAGTTTCCAAATCTCCAGGTTGAACAACTGGAAAAATTGTGATATTACTGACAGGAAAAAGTCATAAAATGTGACCTCTTTATGCTGGAAATATACAGGCAAAATAATTATAGTAACTCAGATTTTACAAAACACTTTCTCATATATGCATGTGTTTTGGAAAATGCTGAATTCAAGCTACTGCTGGCATACTCAGCAAGTAATTGCCAACAGCAAACTGAAGTTTAGAAGTAGGCTAGCATTCAGTAACCATATATGTAAATATAATAGTTGGAAAAGCTTAAGAGGATAATTTCTATGAGGGAGAGATTAGACAACAAAAACCACAGTTCTGAGGCCTGCACAGTCACAGTTTAGGATGGTTTGAGAAGAGAGAGAAGCCAGTAATGGATGAAATTGGAATGGACCATGAGGTAGGAAGAGGTTTAGCAAAGTCTAATATAGACAATAATGTTGACTTATGTACAGATAAAGAAGAATGGGGAGCAAAGAAAGGTGATGAGCACACCATGTTTTATGTTGGAAACAGTAGACAGTGAGAAAGTACTAAGTTGTGGTCTTACAATAATTGCCTATTTTTAATTTTATAACTAATATTCTTATACTGCAATGAGGTATCAATGTATACCCAGTACAGTTGCAAAAATTTAGAAATCTAGGTAATGCCAAATTATGGTGGGGATTTTAGGATTAATTAGAAATGCAGACAAGGGACATTTTAGAGAGCAATATGTCAGTACTTAGTCAAATTTGGTATATGCATACAATGTGACTCAGAAATATCATTGCTGGATATATAGACTAAAGATGTTCTCTCAGAGGTTCATAGGAAACATAAACAGGAGCATAAATTGGGGCAGGGTGTTAGAGGCAATCTGAGTGTCAGTCACTGGGAAAGTGGATAGTAAAACATAGTAAGTGCATACCACAAGGTATTATATCACAATTAGAAGCAGGAGATTAGGTATACACATAGAAACATGAAGAAATTTGAACAATATATTGGTGAGAGTGAAAAATGTATAAATATGTGTAAATGAAGACTGAAATATATAAAACAATAACATATACATTTATTTAAAACCACAAAATTAATTTTTCAAGAATACATATACAGCCCTGGCTGGTGTAGCTCAGTGGATTGAGCACGGGCCTGCAAACTAAGGGATTGTGGTTTGATTCCCAGTCAGGGCACATGCCTAGGTTGCAGGCCAGTTCCCAGCAGGGAACACATGAGAGGCAACCATACACTGGTATTTCTCTCCTTTCTTTCCCTTCCCCTCTAAAGATAAATGAATAAAATCTTTTAAAAAAATTTTAAAGAATACATATACACAGAAAGATGCATGCTAAATTGATCAGAATGACAGCCTATAGTGGGACCAGGGACAGGAAGTAAAATAGAATAACCAAAACAAAAAAACAAACACCACAAGAAAAGAGGGCCTTGCATGGACTGTGATAACATGCCATGAATTGAGCATTGTGAGTATTTGATTCACCCAACATTCAGAAGGACATTAAAATATAATTGCAAAGCCAAATTATGTATGATTTTTCTATCCTGCCATTTACAAGTTAAAAAGAGTTGATTTGCAAAAGTTTATGGTTTGCTTAATATTCTTGGTATGTAGTGTTTATGAGTGCAAAAAATTGTTTATAAGTAGAATCACCATACTGTAAACCTTTACTTAGAACCAATGTCTTTTGCTTCTGCAGATCAATATGGCCATGCCTGAGAAAGCAAGCTGTACTAAACCAAGGGAGGATTTCGGTCATTTTCCAGAGATTATTGAACTCAACGTTGGTGGTCAGATGTACATCACTCGCTATATTACTTTAGTTAGTGTTCCTGGCTCCCTGCTCTGGGAAATGTTCAGTGAAAATAATCCTTGCTCCCTAACCCAGGACAACAAAGGGAGATTCTTTGTAGACAGAGATGGTTTCCTCTTTCGTTATGTGCTAGACTACATGAGAGACCGTAAACTAGTGCTTCCTGACTACTTTCCAGAGTGTGGCCGGCTCCAGAGAGAAGCAGAATACTTCAAGCTACCAGAGTTAGTGAAGATGTTGGCTCCTAAAATCAACAAGGTCAAGTCATTTGGCAATGATTTATGCCAAAGTGATGTAGAAGAGCTTTCCACCAACACTGACCTCACATATAATATCTCTTCAAGTAATAACATCCAAGTTAGTGGCCCTGATAACACCCCAGCTCTGACAGTAAACACTGGTTCTGACCTCAAGAAGGCAGGTTTCATCACTATTGGCTATCGAGGCTCCTATACTCTGGGTAGGGATAGCCAAGCAGATGCCAAATTCCGCCGTGTGGCCCGAATCATGGTGTGTGGTAAGACTTCATTGGCCAAAGAAGTATTTGGAGATACTCTAAATGAAAGCAGAGACCCTGACCGTCCTCCTGAGAGGTACACTTCTCGATATTACCTCAAATTTACCTTTCTGGAACAAGCCTTTGATAAATTAGCTGATGCTGGCTTTCACATGGTTGCATGCAACTCCTCTGGCACCTGCACTATCACCCATGACCAAGCAGATGACAAGATCTGGACCTCTTACACTGAATATGTTTTCTGCCGGGAGTGATACTGAAAAGAAAGTCACCCAGAAAATACAAAGAAAACAGCCAACTTTCTCTCCCTTCTGTGTTCCTGTGCCAACCATCCTTTTTAGAAATAAACATGTTAATTTTTGATCCATTAAATCTTGGACAATCCCACTCCCTTCACCATAACCAGTTGAATCTTTTTTGGAAACTTTCTTCTTACATATTCCATTCTATCTGGCTTCCAACCTACCTTGGATTGGCGAGTTGATTGTCATTTCAGGAAAAGTATTCAATGTGTAGGCATATGTGCATGCAAAACACTGTAAGTATTAGAGATGTATTTGTTGAGTGAATGCAGTTAGATAAACCCACAAGATTTAGTTAGTTAAGATATATTAAGCCATAGTTTCCAAACTAGTTCTCAGCACAATATCTTGTAATTGCTTACATACTTTGTTACCTGTACTCTCCTAAGGAAAGCCCCATGTATACTTATTTTGAACTGGAGTCCCCTATAGTAAATGTGAATATGCTTTGTAAACTGTTACTGCTATTCTTTTTATCCAGACAGAATGGAAGAAACTGATGTGCATCCTCCCAGGAGGTTCATAGGAAGTTCAATCAGTTCTAAAATTATTGATTATTCTTGTTAGAAGAAAGATATAAAAAAGCAGCCAACAATGCCAAGAATAAGAGGCTTAGTACTTGAATTGCATAATGACTATTACACAGGCATAGGTGGGTATGCCACTTTAAAAGATTGTGTTAAAATATCTTTTTTTATTAATTAGAATTGAAACATAAAAACATGTACCTAAAGGAAGTTTAAGCAAATAATTGCTGTTTTCAAATACACATATGTAGTAGTTTGATTTCCACTAAGTCAAACAATTGGATGTATGTCAACTGTTAACTTATGCCAGATTATGTATGTGTGTGTGTGTCTTGGGTATCAGTGGGAAAAGGAGGATGAGGAAGATGGACAAAAAGAATTTCAAAAAAAGGAAATAAAAGTTCATCTTCTGAAATGACTTCCATACAAATGACTTTTGTTACATGGGTTGAAAGAAAAATCTTCATATGAAAACACCAGAGTTTGATACAATGATACAAATGATTAGGTTGCTGGAGAATATGAGACAAGTCAAGAAAAAGAAACTTTGAAGGCTCATTAAAAAAAAAAAACCTTTATCTCTTCTGAGTACCTTTATAGTAACTCAATGACCAAATGGCCTTCTAGTTTCTTTATTCCTTCCTTGATGCCTCTTATTTACCCCATGTCTCTATTGCATTTGATATCTTTTGATTCGTTTCCTAGTTGGGACTCTGGGTTTCAAGGAATTAAAACCCATTCAATGTGTCTTGAGAAAAATAAAATGCACATGTGTGAAGGGTGTGAGCGGGTGGACATTTTATAAATGCACCTGTCCTGTTGAGTCCAAAGATAAAAATTGAGTCTGATCAAGTTTCGGATGTTCTTGGGAGATGTCAAGAACTGATGTTCTCTCTTGTCTGTCAGAGGCCGTATGACTTTTCCTTTGATCATTTGAGTCTGTCAGCTCTATATTTTTCTCTCCACATCTTGGGATCATTTATTCAGTTTATATATGCCATAGAACAGACATATCAGCCTCTCAATGAGCATGAGAGGCTGATTACCTCAATTCAGCCATTACCTCCATAGTTAACTTCTGTAGTGACACGCTAATTCAAAAAACCTAAATTAGCTGTGGCTTAACAGGGAGAGTCTGAATGGGCAGAAGGCACTGTGGGTGTGGACAACCAAAACTCCAACAGGGAACTGTTATCAACATTTCTAAATAAATTACTACCTGTGCCTGAAACAGTAAACAATAAGTATATAACATGTAAAAGACTCTGATTGATATTTCCAAAGCTCTCAGAGTCCAGACTGACTACTAATAGATTTTAGAATGTGGTCAGGAGTCATTTATGATCTTCCAATCTAGCTTTGCAAATACCCTTTTGACAAGTTACTGCCCTAGATGGGCAACATTTTAGATTCTATAGAGAGGTGTTTCCCAAACTCAGCCTCTTGTGTACCATTCTCATGGCTTTACCATCCCCTTATCCCTTATGCACTATTAATCTAATCTTTTAAAAAACTGAGCTAGCCCTGGCTGGCATAGCTCAGTGGACTGAGTGTGGGCCTGTGAACCAAAGGATCATGGTTTGATTCCCAGTCAGGGCACATACCTGGGTTGCGGGCTGGTTCCCAGCAGGGGATGCACAAGAAGTAACCATACATTGATATTTCTCTCCCTCCCCCCTTCCCTTCCCTTCTAAAGATAAGTAAATAAAATCTTTAAAAAAAACTGAGCTAATAAATTCACTTTTATTTTTACTTAAATACATTCAGTAGTTCTATTCCCTTTGCCATATTTCTGATATGTTCTAGGTGTCATTGGCTTCATTGTGCAGTAGAGAGGAAGCTATGTTTTGGTCTACATCTTATGTATACTATAGTTAAGCCATAAGGATAAGGAGATATGCAATGGCAATCTGTTGCTTTATGCTTTGGGCTCAGCCTCCTAGAAATGAATTTAACCTGTTTTACGGAGTATTTGTAACATCACTTACAACCGGGACTACTGCTCTACTCACTTTTTATCTTGTCATCAATTTACTGTCCTCTTTGGGTTCAAATTAATTCCAAAACACTATTATTTGTCCCTCAAATTGTAATTATATTAGTTCAATCAGATTACTCTCTTATCACCTAGCAATAAAGTAATTGGAGAAAGGGAATAAATTGTAATAATCTCTCAGATTGTGTAGTAATTAAGAAGTTAGAATATAGGATGGTTCATAGGCTAAATAAGGGTATATCAAAATGGGTATGCAAGTAATTACATATTTGTTTTCACTTGAAAGTCACTAGTGTGGTATGTGTTCATAAATAATTGCTCCAACTATAGTTGAAATTATAAATGACTTTCTATTAAGGCTGTTGTTGTTGGAAGTATAAGCAACTGAATCTGGTTAATAGCTGCAGAAAAGAAATGTACCTAGTTCACAGAATTACCTTTCCAGAAATGCTGTGAACTAGTAAATTTCAGAACATCTTCAGAGGATACACAGCCAGAAATAATGTTCAAATTTAAACTGAAGGACTAGTATTGGAAATTCAATATTGTGATTCTTGGGCACTTGTGTTACTACAACTTTTACTTTCTACACCAGTAGCACTGGACACTAATGTCACTGCCTTTAGAACCTCTGCCACTGCTATCTCTACCATTACTCATCATCAGAATGAAGTCTGGGACATCCCCAATTCTTCCTGGCACTGGTTTGTTGCTCAGGGCACATATGTGTGCTAACACAATAAAAATTTAAGGTAACCTGGGAAAGCAAGTACCTAGAATTTTCATTTTTTAAGTGAGAAGAAGACTCCTAAAATCAAGATTCTGCAAAAAGAGGAAAGGTTTTTGTATGCTACATGGCCATAAAAGTGACAAATGTCTACTTCAGAGTCAGAAGAAAGTTAACTGAAGTGTAAAAAATAAAAACAAACTGTATACTGTATACTCTCTCATCCATATAGTGGAAACTTATACAATTGTAAATGCTAGCTAATGAGAATCATTTTTCATGCTTGTTTTCTTTAACAATATATTGTGAATGGTATTAGGTCTTTGAGTTAGCTCTACAAATTTGCAATAGTTTAACAAAAGTCAGATGAGAGACTAAGTGTTATTTCAGCCAAGTAGCACAGTTACGTTTTCACAGGAATATTCTAGGAGTCAGTGTTTTTAGCTAGCAGTTTTCAAACTTTTTAAATAGAAACTTTAAAGGAATAAATTTTTACTTGGAGCTCTGTTACATAAAACAAAAAAAAGTGACATGTATTACTGAGATAATATACAATATTTTACATTTTTTGTGGGATTCCTGAAATACCTATGGGAATACTGGCACCTTATTGGAGCATGATTTGGAAACTAATTGCTTTGAAGTCAAAGAGATTAGTGCTGTAGGAGAGAAGAAGTGGAGAATTTTAGGTAATGTGCAGGGTCAACTTAGTGAAGAACTGGTAAGAAACCTTAATATTAAGTTTCCACAATGAGAGAGAACTTTGTCATAAAGCATTTAGTTTACAGTTTCAAGGAGAAAATGATCAGTTTTACAACTAATAATTTGACCTAACCCCGATATTTACTTAATACTAACTCATGTTTAAGGTTTGTTTCTGAGTGCTTTAATTCTGCTGTTTCATATCATCTCCAAAAAAAAATGTTAAGTTGGTACTGGACTTCTGGTCAACATGGAAGCATAGGTAAACAGGGCTTGCCTACTCATACAATCACATCAAAATTGCCACTAAACTATAGAACAACTATCATTCAGAACCATCAGAAATTGAGCTGAATGGAAGTTTTACAACTACAGAATTAAAGAAGAAACCACACTGAGACTGGTAGGAGAGGCAGAGACGCAGAATGGACAGGGGTTCCAGGATCGCATATGGTATATAAAAATTTGGAGGGGTATCTTGGGAGCAAGGGATCCCAGCCCTACACTAAGCTCCCCAATCCAGGGTTCCAGTGCCAGGAGGCAAGTCTCCATAATTTCTGACTGTGAAAACCAGTGGGGATTGAGGCTGTAAAAGACAGAAACTGCTGGAATCCTAGGTAGTTCCTCTTAAAGGGTCTGTGTATGGACTTACTCAGACTCACTCCTTCTGAGCTTCAGTGTGGGAGTAGTAGATTGAAAGACATCAGAGACACATGGGGAGGACTGGATTGTCTGGCATCAGGGCAAAGGCTAGAGTGACAGCTTTCTCCCAGACTGAAATGCTGGCAGAGGCCATTGCTCATTTTCTGAGCCCTCCCCACCAACATAACCACAGAGCCACCAGGCAACCACCATATCTGACACTCCATCAGCCTGGCTGACACTGTTCACCCCACCCTAATGATTTCCTGAGACCTGGCCCCACCTAAGTTTCTGGCTCACTCAAACTGTTTCTAGTGGCTTTTCCATATGAATGGCTTGTATTGGCCTATGCTTCAGATTTTTCTAAATTCTCTCAAACAAGCAGCATCTTGTTTTAGCAAGCTACATAGCTCTCATTAAGTTTCCCCAGGCATGGCACTAACGGAGGTCAGCCTTGGTTAACAACCTGGCCTCACTTGGGCACATCTATGCCCAGCACAAGTAACAGCCATCTACAGATGCATTGTAGCTTATGCTGTGTGACCCCAGACAGAATACAGTCAGTGACTGACCTTGAACCTGCCAGCAGAAATCAAGGCTCAACTACAACAGGAGGGTGTGCAGAATCCATACAGTGGGTGCGCCTTAAGTTTCCAGTGTGGATAAGAGGAGAGGCTGTACCACTGGACTCTATAGGACATCTACTACATTAGGCCCCTCTACTAAGCCTGGGAAATATAGCAGCTCTACCTAATACATAAAAACAAACACAAGGAGGCTACCAAAGTGAGATGACACACAAACATGGCCCAAATGAAAGAACAGAATAAAACTCCAGAAAAGAAGCTAAACAAAAAAGAGACAAGCAATCTACTAGATGCAGAATTCAAAACACTGATTATATGGATGTTCAAGAAACTTAGGACTTCAACATCATAAAAAATCCAATTAGAAACAAATGATACAGTAATTGAGATAAAGAACAGTGTACAAGGAATCAACAGTAGAGTGGATGAACCTGAGAATCAAATCATCAAATCAGTGATGGAACATAACGAAGCAAAAACCAAAACAAAACAACCCACCATTAGAATAGCAAGAAGAAAAAAAGAATCCAAAAAATATGAGGATACTGTATGGAGCTTCTGGGTCAACTTCAAGAGTACCAACATTTGCATCATGGTGGTACTGGAAGAAGAAGATAGCGAGCAAGAAATTTCAAAAAATAATGACAGCAAACTTCTATAACTTGGTGAAAGAAATAGACATACATGTCCAGAGAGGACAGAAAGTCACAAACAAGAGGAACTGAAAGAGGCCCATACCAAGACACATCATAATAAAAATGCCAAAGGTTAAGAGAAAATATGAAAAGCAACAAGAGAAAAGCAGTTAGTTACCTACAAGGGAGCTCCCTTGAAACTGTCAACTGATTTCTCAAAAGAAACTTCACAGGCTAGAAGGGATGGGCAAGAAATCTTCAAAGTTATGAAAAGCAAGGACATACAACCAAGATTACTCTACCTAGCAAAGATATAATTTAGAATTAAAAGGAAGATAAAGAGCTTCCCAGACAAGGAAAAGCTAAAGGAGTTCATTACCACTGAATCAGTATTATATGAAATGTTAAAAGGTCTTATTTAAGAAAATAATAAGATAAAAAATATGAACAATAAAATGGCAATAAATACATATCAATCAACAACTGATTCTAAAAAACAAAAAATAAACAGAACAAAAATAGAATCATAGATACAGATAATGTTTTCATGGCTTACAGATGGGAGGATGGTCAGGTGGATAGGCAAAAAAGGTTAAGAGATTAAGAACTACAAATAGGTAATTACAGGATTGTCATGGGGAAGTAAATGAAGTACAGCATAGGGAATAGAGAAGCCAAAGAACTTATACTCATGACCCATGGAAATGGGCAATGGTGTGGGGACTACCTGATAGAATGGGGGGGGGTAGGTGAAGGGGGCAAAGAGAAAAACTAGGATGACTGTAATAGCATAAATAGTAAAATGTAATTTACAGAAAGAAACTTGGTGCTATTACCACCAGTTAGTTTGAGGAAATTAAAGGTATAGTGTAGGGGTATTATCATTTATTGATCATGAATTTGGCCCCACATACTTTAAATCCATTATTTCATTTCAATTAAAAAAATTTTGTTGTTAAAGTTTGAGGTGACATCACACATTAATATCCTGCTGTGAATTCAGAATTAGTTGAAAAAAATACAAGAGTTGGATGGAGATCAAAACATTAGTTTTATTATTGTTAAAGCTGACTTGAAAAATGTATCTTGAATCTATGACTACAATGGAGCTTTCTAATTCTTTCCTCCAAGATTGAATCTTTGTACCCAGGTACAGGTAGAACAACTAGATCTGTAGTCCACTCTCTGCATTGACAGAGATTGATTACATTTAAGTTGATTACTCAAGCATTTTTTGGACAGACTACTTTGAGAATGAATGAAGACAGTCTATGCCTGTGCAGGCCCTTTCTCCAATATCACCAAATTGATAATGACTCTTTCTCCTATATTGAGGAGTGAATAATGGGATGAA